TCCTCCTCCTCCTCCTCCTCCTCCTCCTCCTTCCTCCCCCTGCGCCCGAGAGGGGCTGCCTCGGATGGGGAGCGCGCGCGCTCCACACCGCCCGCTCCTCCGCGGCCACCCCTCCGACGCTCGCCCGCCCCTGCGCGCCTCGGCCCGGCCCTCCCCGTGCGCCCCTGTCTGCCGAAGGGGCCCCAGGACACACAAATAAATACACACACATAAAAAAGTATGCCCCATATTTCCCCATTTTTTCTGGGTTTCTGTCTTCCCCCCCACTTCCCATATTTTCCCATACTTTCTTGGAAATCGAGGATTAATTGTGCCTGTGTGTGTGTGTTTTTCCCCTCCTGATCTGCGCTGCTGCCCCGGCCCGCCTCGTCGAGGAACGCCTCGCTCTTGCACGGGGTCACCGCCGCCAGCTGCGTGGCGCCCCGGCCCCTGCGAGCGCGGGCGCCCCGAGGCGAAGACGTGGCCAAGGGAAGGAGGGGAAGGAGAGGCCTCGGCTCGGCTCGGGACCCGCGGCCTGCGCCGTTTTTGGTGCCGTTTCCGGTGGCCGTTTTTTCGCCGTTTCCATGTTCAAGGGACACTTTTTCGGAAACCGTGAAAAAAACGGCCCTGCCGTTTCCGGGGCCCACAAAGGGCGGCCCTCTGTCTCGGAAGGAGAGGACTCGGCTCGGCTCGGGGCCCGTGGCCTGCGCCAGAGGTGGCAGGCCCAGGAAAGGAGGAACAGGGGGAGAGGAGCGGAGAAGAAAACAAAAAAACGGTCTGTCGCCACACGGTTTCGGGATCCCTAAGTTCCCGATGCCCATCCCCATCTCGAAAGAGAGAAAACGCCATAAGCATACTTTTGGCGCTCCGCGCGGATTTCTTGGATCCGCGCTGGGCCCCGCCGGCGGCGCCTCCGGCGCTGGGGGGTCCAGCGCAGATCCAGGAAATCTGCGCGGAGCGCCCAAAGTTTTTGTTTATGGCGTTTTTCTTCCTCTAGAGGAGAGGGCGGAGGGAAAGAATGCGGGGGCCGTGAGCAGGACCGAGCGCGATCCTGGTACCGTGAGCAGGCCGGGAGGGAAGCGTCGGTACCGATCCTGGTCACGGCCCATCTCTCGGTCACCGTCCCACCGTGGACGGGCCTCGCTACTCGGCGACGGCTGGCGTTAGGGAAGCAAGAACGGCATAAACAGAAACTGTTGGAGGTCCGCGTGGATTTCTTGGATCTGCGCCGAGCCACCCTCTCCCTGGCGCGCGGAGCGCGCCGCCAGAGAGGCCCAGCACCGGTACAAGAAACCCGCGCGGAGCGCAGAAAATCGATGTCTGTGCCGTGTGCTCTTCCTCGGAGACGCACTTGCCCAGGTCAATGCAAATCTGGGAGCGGCCAAGAGGGGGGTGTCCAAGAGGGGGGGGTGCGAATCATGACCGGCGGCGTGTGCGCGGCCCAGCGGGGGGGCCAGGGACGTAATGAAATAAGAAGAGGCACCATGAAATCTGGGGAGATATCATGGCCCCCGCCATGATATCCACCCCCCCCTAGTCATCACCCCCCTCTTTTCCGCCCCCGGCAAACCTGGGGCACGGGTCGATGCAAATCTCGGTCACTCGGGCGTTGCAGGAGCCTCCCAAACCATGCAGGATCCTGCGCGCCAGCCCAGGCCATTGCGCTCCTGGACCCGCAGGATCCTGCAGGACCCTGCGCTCTGGCGGACCCTCGTGTGCATTGACCCCCGCCTCTCTAGAGGCCTCCCACATGGGCTCCCGGCGACATGAGATTCCCTGTCGGTGGATGGCGTGTCGCTCCGCTCCGCGGGGTGGGAGCCTGGGAAAAGCTCGGGGCATCGCTCATGGCATGCTTGCCGTCGCTCGGACGTCCATTTCCTGTGCATTTCTCGGTCTCGTGCGTGTTTTTTTTTGCTCGATAGTCCAGGATGGTCCTCGATGGTTCTCGCCGAGAAAAAAAGTGCACACGTCCGAGAATGGGGGTGTGGATGCCACGTCGCGCCGCAGCGCGGGGGGGGCCAGGCCCCGCGGCGCGACAGGCGGAGACGCGGCCGCGGAGGGTCGCGGACGCCCGGAGTTGAAGGGGCCCCAGGACACACGAATAAATACACGCAAATAATAGGATTCCCCATATTTTCATATATTTTCTGGGCTTTTGTCTTCCCCCCCCCCACTTCCCATATGCTTGCATATTTTCTAGGAAATCGACGATTAATTGTGTCTGTGTGTTTTTTGCCCTCCTGAGAAGTGGGCGGGGAAGACCCGGGTGCGATGCGCGACGACAAACGTCGCCCAGAGCCGGCAGCGGCCGCTGCTGGGCAGGCGGCCCTCTGTCTCGAATGGACAACGTCCGCGGCGACGCCAGCAGCAAACCATGCTCAAAATTGAGCACCGTTTATCCGACCCCCATCCCCAACGGCGTGGCCTAGGCCCCACTGGCCGATTGGCCCCCCTAGATGTGAATATAGGTCGTTTCCTTCGGGTCTCAAGAGGTGTATCCCCAACTGGAGGGCTAAACTGGTGGGGGTGAGGGCGGTTAGACGATCCTGATTGGCAGGAACTCCTGTCGGTCTTCCGTTCTTTCCGTGCCCACTTCGGCCGTACTCGGCTACACGCAGGAGCCACCCTAGGCAAGAGTGACATTCGGTGCGCGGCTCAACGGGGGACGCGGGGTGGTCAAACCTGGGCACACAAGCCGTGGCTGCCACTTAGCGCTGAGCGATCGTGAAGGACCTCATTAGGCCCGCACTAGAGGTCACTCCGGCGAAGGGTCACTCTTCTCACTCCCTGTGCATCTCTCGACATCGTGCACGTGCACCCATTTTTCTCAAGATGATCCTGGATGATCCTCGATGGTCCTCGACGAGAAAAAGGCACACGTCTGAGCGATGCCAACTCTTACGTCTAGCTAACCGACGCACCAAGCGGAGTGGTCCGATCCTGTCCGCCTGGGGGTGTGGGCGGGGGTCCTGGTCGTGTGTCTCATGTACAAGATTCCCTCCCCTGAGCGCGGCGTCTATATACTGAACATGGCCCCGTGGTGTAGAATCTGACTGGGGTGGAGAGTGGAAAACCAGAAAATCGACTAGGGGATCGACAATAGCACTGATGAATCCCAATATTGGCTCTGTCGCCGAATCTACGACAGCATGCGTAGCGTAGTGTGTTCCCTAAATATGCGGAACATCCTGCGTGATTTTCGTAGACCCGGCGGAAACATCAATTTCGGTAGAGGCATCCTAGGTGGGGTCCGAGTGGATGGGGCCGGAGGATCGCGCGGCATCGCCGATACATCGGCGATGCATTAGCGATGCATCAGCGACGCCGGCGCGAAGCAAATCGGGCTCCGCATCGAGCCGCATCGGCGACGCATCGCCGATGCACTGGCGATGCGGCACGATCCTCCGACCCCACCTACTCCGACCAAATCTAGGAGGCCTAGCGGTTTGGGGTGAACGAATTCTTTAGTCGATCCCCGACTCTTGAGCAGGGACCGACCGTCCCGGCATTCCTGTAGGCCTACCACGAAATTTTCTGAGAACCCAGCAATGTTCGAAGAATGCGGTAAAACAAAATAGTCCAAGCCAGAAATATTCTAACATTTCGTGGAAGCCACAAAAGGCTCTTAGAACATTGTTTGGTAGGCCTATAGGCGAGCCATGGCGCTTCGACACGGTTTGACTTTAGTCGATCCCCGACTCGAAAGCTTGCGCCTCCTGGCAGCCGGCGGCGCGCCCAGCGGCCGCTCGCGCCGCGGGGCCGCGGCGGTGAGGCCCCGCCCGGCGGCCGCCGCGGCCGCCAGCGCCGCCAGCGCCAGCAGCGCCGCGGGGGCGCGCGCCCGCGGGGGCCCCCGGCCTCGGAGGCCGACGGGCGTCGGGGGCGCCCAACGAGGGGGGCGTCCAAGAGGAGGAGGAGGAGGAGGAGGAGGAGGAGGAGGAGGAGGAGGAGGAGGAGGAGGAGGGCGGAGGAGGTGGATGTGGTGGGAGAGGAGGCGGAGGTGGAGGTGGAGGAGGTGGAAGTGGTGGAGGAGGAGGACGAGGAGGAAGGCCATCAAACACAAGGCCAAAGTTCTCCGTGCCTGGGCCTCTTGGACGGCCAAGATTGGGCCGCCCATGGCCGACCTCGACCCTTTGCACATCTCAAAGGAAGCTGCCAGCTGTGCGAAGTTGTCGCGACAGCAGGCGGCGCCTGCCCTCACCCTGCAATTATGCATCGCCCACCAGTACGCCGTCCGTGCTGTCGAGAGCCGACCTGGCCCATGTGCGCACGGTGACTGAAGGGGGTACGGCAGGTTCGTGTCGTGCCGACCCCAGCGTTGGTTTTTGACACCGCAGGGATCATTCAACCTTGAACGATCGGCCGCTGCCGCAACGTCCGATCGTTCAACATCGATCGATTCTGGGTCGCCGGCGGCGTTCAACCTTGAACGCCCGCGCTGGGGTCGCCGCTGGTCGACACGACGCAAACCTACCGTTGGCAGCACGTTTCGCGCGCCTTCCAGCTCGTGGGGGGGCAATGCTGCGTGGTGCGCTGCGTGTGTGGGGCGGGAGGGACTGTCGTCTCGGCCAGGCTCTCGGGTACTCCAGATTTCGTGATAAAAGGGAGGGGGTCTGGACCCTCCAAGACAAGCCATTTCAGACCCCCCTCGTGGGAGAACCCTCCAAAACATCGTCCCCAGACCACCCCAGGCCCTCCAAGATAGCTTGGAAAAGACCCCCCCGAAATGAGATCCCTCTCCCTTTATTACGAAATCTGGAGTATTTGCCCAGGACCGCAGCCCCACGGATCCTGGGGTGCTCGTGTGCTGTCGAATTCCGCCAAAGGACGGTTTTCTGTGAATAAGCAGTGGCGCTACCTTGTGCAGCCACTCGTTGCCTCGGAGGTGCTGCGTGTCGGTGAGACCTCCTTGGGGCAAGGTTTTGGAGAGCGCCGCCCATCTGCCTCTGCGGATGGTGGCGCAAGCGGCAGTCAGGCGCCACCCACGTCAGCGGCGTCGGCGGCGTAAGTGGCAGCAGGCGCCATCCACGCACGCTGGCGTGGAGGCGCAAGTGGCATGGGCGTGACAGACTCATGTTGCGCCTTGGTATGGTCGAAGAAGAGGAGGAGGAGGAGGAGGAGGAGGAGGAGGAGGAGGAGGTGAAGGTGGAGGAGGAGAAGGAGGAGGAGGAAGAGGAGGAGGAGGAGTGTTAAGGCTGTAGAGGGCAGCCAGCGGTGATCTAGTGGGCCGGATGTTAAGTCCGAGTGCAAGCACGCGAAGGCCGCCTATACCCCCCAGGAGGCTGACGGGCGTCGTGGGCGTCCAAGAGGGGGGCGTCCAAGAGGGGGGGCGCCAATCTTGGCCAGCGGTGGAGCCAGGACGGGCACACAGAAACGGCGACGGGGCCCTTGCCAGCGTACCGCTCGGACCTCTGGGCACCAGCCGCGCGCCGCAGATCTCGTACACCCGCCCTTTGCTCTGTCCTCCCACCCTCTGGGCCCGCCCGATCACCGTGCTGCCACAGGGGGAACTTGGACGCCTGAAATGGGTACGGGTACAATGCCCAACAACAGATGTTGTCCCAAACCATCAGCGGCCGCTGTTGGGCGGGCGGCCTCCTGTCTCGAATGGACACAGGCCGCGGCGGCGTGGACAGCGAATCCTGTTCAAAATGAGCAGGAACTGCTGTTGGGCATTGTACCCATTCTTCCCGTGCCCGTTTCGGGCGTCCAGAGGGAATGCTGAATGAGGAACGAGGCGGCGCGTGTCTTTCCTCGGAAGGCTCCCACAGCCCGGGGGCGACGATGGGGGCAAATAGCCCATGGGCCGAGCAATGCACGCATGGGGAGAGCCCATGGCGAGAGCCTTCGGCGGGGCTCCCGCGGGCGAATACGTGAAGTGCCCGCCCTTGGGCTCTTCGCCCCTGTCGCCGCCTCCGCCGAACGCCCGAGCGGCGGCGGCACGCCCGAACGGCAGCAGCGGCGGCGGCGGCGCGCCAGCGGCGGCGGCGGCGCGCCAGCGGCAGCGGCGGCGGCGGCGCCGTTCGGGCCACGGCGGCGGGCGCCGGCGGCTCGCGGCGGCGCGCGCCGCGCGGCGGCGCGCGCGCAGGCGGCGGCGGTCGGCGGCGGCGGCGGCCACGCAGAGCGGGGCGGCGGCGCGGCGGCCGCGCACCGGGCGGCGGCGGCGCGGCGGCAGCGGCGGCCGAGGCCCCGGCGCGCGGGCGCGCGCGCGGGGGGCGCCCGCCGCCCCGCGCGAGGAGCGGCATGGCGCGGGGGCGCCGCGCGGCGCGCCGCGCGGCGGGGGCGCTGCGGGGGCGCAGGGCCGCACGGCGGGCCCACCATCGGCGGCGGCGGCGGCGGCGGTGTCGACGACGACGGTGACGACGACGACGACGACGACGACGACGACGACGACGACGACGACGACGACGACGACGACGACGACGACGACGACGACGACGACGGAGGCGGCGGCGGCGGCGTCGTCGAGGATCGAGGCTGGGGGCTCGCGGATCGAGACTGGAGGCTCGGGGTCCGCAGGGCTCGAGGTCGCAGGACCGTGGCCAAAGAGGCTGAGGCTTGGAGGTTTGGGAGGATCGGGGCTCGCGGCCAGAGAATCCCGAGGTCGAAGGCTCGAGGTCCGGGGCGCGAGGCTCGAGGTTTTGAAGCATCGAGGCTCGAGGCTGGAGGCTCGGGGCTGACGGGGAGCGAGGCCGAACAAGCTCTCATACCTCGGCGATGCGGCGCCGTCGGCGCGGCCAGCCGTGGCGCCAGGACCTGGGCGAACCTCGCCGATCCGCTCGCGTGGGCGCCGATCCGTCGACGCTTCGCCGCCTCGCCGCCGTCGGCTCGCGGTCGTCGGCGGTGGCAGGGAGCTCCTCCTCCTCCTCCTCCTCTTCCTGCCGTTTCTGCCGTCTCTCGCTGAGCCAGCGTCTGAACCTCCTCCCCCTCCTCCTCCTCCCTCCTCCTCCTCCTCCTCCTCCTCCTTCACCTCCCCCTCCTCCTCCTCCTCCTCCTCCTCCTCCTCCTCCTCCTCCTCCCCACCTCCTCCTCCACCTCCTCCTCTCCCTCCTCCTCCCTCCTCCTCCTCCTCCTCCTCCGCCTCCTCCTCCTCCCCCTCCTCCTCCTCCCCCTCCTGCTCCTCCTCCGCCTCCGCCTCCTCCTCCGCGGGCGCTGCCGCGGATGCGCTGGGAGGGGCCGTCGGGCCAACGCCCGCGGCCCGTGCAGCTCTGACCCTCTGATCCCCCCCCTTCCTGCTTGCTCGCGCGCGCCTCCTCGGCGGCGCGCACGGGGGGGGGGGGGGGGGCATGGGGAGGGGGGAGTAGGAGGAGGGGGAGGGGGAGAGGAGGGAGGAGGAGGAGGAGGAGGAGATGGGAGGAGGAGGAGGAGGAGGAGGAAGAGGAGGAGGAGAGGAGGAGGAGGAGGGGGAGGGGGAGGGGGGAAGGCTTCTGGGTGAGCGCTGCGTCGCGCGATCTGCTGCTCCTCCTCTTTGTGAGCGCTGCGTCGCGCGCATCGCTCCTGGTATTCCGCTGCCGCCATCTCCTGCATTACTCTTTCATTGTGTTCCTGCGCCGTCCTATGCCTCTGGGCTTTTTGAGCTGCCATCTGTCGTATCGCCTGCTCCTCCTGCCTGGCCTTCTCGACATGCTGCGTGTAGATGGCTGCTCTTCCCTGGTCATCTTGCTTCATCTCCTCCCGTAGCATCTTCTTTTCCGCTTCGAGGTGCTTCTGCAAGTCCACGAGCATCCCTTTGGCCCTCTCCTCCTGTGTCCTCTGGCTGCCTCTCTGCGCCTCGTATGCCTTCGCTTCCTCCTCCTCCAACCTGGCGGTGTGCTGTCTCTTGAGCGCGTTGACCTCCCACGTGTGCCACTCCTGTTGCCTGGCCAGCTGGGCTTCTGTCGTGCGGAGCACCTTTTGCGCCATCGTGTGCTCGCAGGCCTTCAACTCGCTCTTGTGCTTGAGCTCCGCTTGCACCAGCATGTCGCGTTGCTGCTGCTCCATCTTCTGCTGTAGGTCGAGCCTCTCGGTCAGCTTCCTGATGGCGTCCTTGATCTCGTCGTTGTTGTCGGCGGTGGTCCTTCCTGCCGGTGGCCGGGCTTGTCCTCCTGACCTTCGCTCATCCTCGTCTTTGCTGCCTTTATGTCGTGCTTCATGCTGTGCTGGAGCTGCTGGTGCTGCTGCTGCTGCTCCTGAGGGGGCAGCTGCTGCCCTGGTCGACGGAGCTGCCGCTGGTGAAACTGGTGCTGCAGCTGGGTCGCGCCTCCTCCTCGCGGCTGGGTGTGGCGTACGTCCTCTGGTGCGGTCGTCGCACCCCTCCTCCTCCGACGTCTCTTCCTTTACGCCCGCCGCTTTGGCCATCTGATCCCTGGTTTCCTTCAGCAGGGTCTTGTAGATCTTGATGGTTCGGGCGGCCGCCGCCTCCTGGTCGAGCATCGTGTTGAGCCGCTTCTCCATCTCGGTGTGATCCTCCTCCAGCCTTTCCAGTGTAGTCCTGAGCTGCTTCATGCGCTCCTTGTGGGGCAGGACAAAAGAGATGTTCGTGGCTGCGGTCGCCGCTCCCTGCTCGAGGTTCATCGTGCACAGGCCTGCCGACCTGGCGCCAGCGATGTTCTCGGCGAGGCGGCCCAGTCTCTGGCACTTCGCCTTATACCACACGTAGCGCATCTCCTCGTCGTCGAGTGGGGCGGACCAGCTCTCGTGCTCCATCGCAACGGCGAAGGTGACTGGCGTGATGCTGTCCAGAACCTCCCTCTGCTGCAGGCTGTACTGGAAGTTGCCGATGTGGGCTGCGGTTGGTGCATCCTGCTGGTCCTTCCTCC